CAGAGTGTTACCACTATAGCAGACTCGGACTCTACATCCAATGGTGTGATCAAGCTGTGGAGATTACGTCGAGCCGCTTGGTGGATCTGTTGCATCAAAAAAACGTATGAAGCGAAGAGGAAAAGTTCAACGAACGATGAGCGAAAGATAAGTACTACGCACGGTAAAGAACTGACAAGGAAGTTCAACGGCCGATGAGCGACAAGGATAAGTTCAAACGCACGATGAGCGACACCAAGGATAAAAAGTACTACGCAAGAACAACGACAAGGATAAGTTCAACGGCACTATGAAGCGACAAGGATAAGTACTACGGCACGATGGCGAACAAGGATAAGTTCAACGGCACGATGATCGACAAGGATAAGTACTACGGCACGATGACAGACAAGGTAAATTCAACGGCACGATGAGCGACACGGAAAAAAGTTCACGGGCACGATGAGCGACCAAAGGATATACTACGGCACGATGAGCGACGAGTCAAGTCCAACGGGCACGATAAACGACGAAGTATCACTATCCAACGGCACGATGAGCGACAAGGATAAGTACTACGGCACGTATGAGGACAAGGATTAAGCTCAACGGCACGATGATCGACAAGATAAGTACTATGGCACGATGAGCCGACAAGTAAGTTCACACGGCACGATGAGCGAAGAGGATAAGACTATGGCACGATGTAGTGCAAGTACAAGTCCAACGGCCGTATGAGCATGAGTAACAAGTCAACGGCCCGATGAGCGGACGAGTATAAGTTCAACGGCACGATGAGCGACGAGGAAAAGTCAAAGTGACGACGAAACGAAAAGGAAAAGTTTCAACGGGACGAGGAGTGAGGAGACATTCAATACATGCTATAAGATTGATCTTGTCTATTTGAGTGCCTTGGAGAGGCTTGATACTCTGAGGTGTTATCTTGGTAGCAATATAATAAAACGTGTATACCATTTCTTAAAAAAGAAAAAAAAAGACATTTACTGTCTCAGGCGGGAGACGATCTCTTCACCCCACACCCGGAGCGGCCTGGCCTATGGGCCTGGCCGTGAGTAGGTACAATCTGGAATACAGTGGTCTCCTGCAGAAGGTGATAAACACTATTCAGAGTGCAAAACTCCTCCCACCATGTCTCTCTAGGCCTGTAAGTGGAGGTTTTTTGAAGAATGGTGCCTTCCCAAAAAGGGCCACACCTCTTTTCATGTCCTGTTGGGTGAGATTTTATCATTTCTACGACCTGATTGATAACACAGAGCTTTTTTTTCTACAATCAAAGTTATACCTGGTGCTATTGCTGCATGCCATGTGCTTTGAGGGAAAGACGGCTAGCCACATACCTTTGGTCGCGTTTTATGAGGGCGCTCGCAGGCTCCTCCCTGTTTTCCAGGTTCCTGGTGCCCTTATGGGACTTACCGTGTTTTAGATGGCTCACTCAAACCCCATTGAACCCCTGGAAAGAGCTGACATAGCCCTGTCACTGAAGACGAGTGCGTTACGGCCCTGGCATCCGCCAGCGAACGTCAGTGATATTTCATGCGCTCTCTGTACATCCTTCGGTGCACCTCAGTCGCCCCGTGGAAACGAGAGTGTTGCTGAAGCCCAACCTTGCCTTTATACTATGGTGGTGGTTCATGTTACCCCAATTTGACATTGAGGCATTTCTCCGCCGCTGTGTTCTCGGGGAATAGCAGTAGAATTTGCTGTTCCAGTTCGTGCTTACGCACTTATATGGACCAGGTCAAAGAGTTTCGTTGTAGTGACAACTCTCATATCCTGGGCTAAACCCTCAGAAGGGCAAGCCCTCCAAGAACGGCTCTCCCACTGGATTTTGTGGAAAGCGATTGCTTTGGCCTATACCGAGTCAGGGTTTCAACCCGCAGCCGCAGAGCCGAGCCTCCGAGTCCCTGACTCCTCTGGTGTGAGGGAGAGAAGCGTACATCCTGTGCTTTGTTCAAGGGTGTTTCCATCCAGGACATTTGTGCAGCAGCGAGCTGGTCCTCGCCGCTCACTTTTTTTCCGCTTTTACAGGCTAGACGTCTCTGCTCCTAGTGTGGCCCGAGCAGTGCTGGGCCCCGTGTTGAGTCAGAGCTCTACCTGTTAAGTTCTGGTTGGTTTGGTGATTTTCGAGATAAGCTTGTCTGGCAATACGGGAGCTTCAATATCCCATAGTGAGACATCGAACGGAGTGTTATGAATGAGAACTATAGGTTACTTACGTAACCCCAGTTCTCAGAGTAACATGTAGTGAGATGTCTCACCAGACGGCCCTCCTTGCTAAGGTGAAGTGAGAAGAGGTGCTTATTTTGAATGACGCTGCGACGTGGCGCAAGCTACTTATAGGGTGGGTGGATTCCCTGACGCTGACGTCAAGATCACCAGCCAATCAGGATTGGCGTAATGAGATTGATGCTTCTGCTCCTGCGATGAGGCGCATCCCATAGTGAGACATCTCACGACATGTTACTCTGAGAACTGGGGTTACGTAAGTAACCTATAGTTTTCAATTGTTTTCTCTTCTTCCCAAATATTGGATACTGGCACGTCTCTAGGCTTATAAAATCATTTGAATAATAGAGAAAAAGAAAGGTCCGTGGTTCAAAAGTCGACACCGATTGATTTTAAAGGGTCACAAGCCAAAGGTGATGGAACACAATGCCCTGTCAGATATATATTGACCCTATATCTGAGAAATCGTTATTTTTTTCATACAACGTCTAATTTAGACCAATTACAACACCTATATTCAGCATGTTCCTCACCCCTCTGCTCAATACTCCACTCTTCCCACCATCACTCCCCCTCCTTTACTTTTCCTCCTTGCATTTTCTTGTTCTGACACTCCAGTTTCTTGAAATGCTCGGGGCTTTGTGCCAGTTTTGGAGGATGAAACCTCAGCGCCTCTTATCTGTTTGCACACTGAAATCCCATCTCCTTTTCTGCTTACTCACGCCTCGTTGCTCTGCCTTTCACAATACAACAGTGTTCTCTACTGTAAGCTCATTATACTCTGTTTGAATGGATTTGGATGCATTTAATCACAAAGAAAATGCTCTTATTTTTTCCAAATGCCAAGAATAACAAGCAATTAACACCTGATCATAGACATGACATTATAACACACAATGTTGGTCATAGGTCTGGTTTCCTGGGTTACCACATCACAATCGGTGGTGGTGGTTTCCCACTTAGTGAGCAGTGTCCTGTGGTGGAATTGGTTATTTGATCTATTCAATCTATTTTATTTCCCAGTTGCCATGAACAGATCTTTGTGCGTTTCTGAGGGATAAATCTATGGTGTGTTGTCTGCTCTACTGTAAGCTAATGGAGGGTAAAGACAGGAGAGAGAGAGGTACTGGTCTGAGATGTCTGCATGAGCGCATAGCTCAGCGAACTGAAGAGACAAGAGTCACTGAGGGGAAGCGAAGGATGCATCAAGATGAAGAATGTAATGTGACTTTAGCTTCGGCACAGAGAACACAAAGCGAAATAACAAAAAGGATGACAACAGCAAAACAAACCAGCATCCACAAGCCTGGTGGATGCTGGTTGAAGCTTCTCCAACAAGATGACATTTGTTCACTGTTTCTGATTAAGACAAGTCTCAGACATTTGTTTTGGTGTCCGTCTGATGAGCCCTTGTAGACTGAATGAAGAGATAGCATATTTGTTATTCTATGGTTTTACTGTGAATTGTTTTAGATACTGGTGGTAGGGAAATGGTTAGGCTTTCCAGTGTTTACAGTACAATTCACAGTCTTCTCTCGCAGAAACTGAGCACCAAAAAGTTTTGTCAACATCTGACTAATATATAATAGCAGTATAATCCAGTTCAACACATTTTATTAAAAGTTGTATGATTCAAGGAATCATTGGCCTGAGAGCAAGTGGTCCAAAGTTAGTGAGAATAGGAAAACACATCCTGCTCTTAAGGCTTACAGGTTTGGCTAATGTTAGCTTTTTTTTATAAAAATCTGAGAGTAGGCATACTCCTCAAACTATTCCAACATTATTATATATATAAATATATATGCTGTGTTATGACCCACTTCGTTTTTTTAAATATAAAGCAAAATGCTTGCTGGCTAAGATTGGTTAGTAGTTTAAATAATGATTAGCTAACAGCTAGCATTAGCTGACATTTAACTGGCACACTTTCATATACCTTTTTTTTTTTAAACAGAGATTTTATTTGGAGAATATAAACCTTATTGAAAATATTTTCTATAAGTTTTTTAAGAGCATGCTCTTCCTTTTACATTATCATGCTCCTTCCACATTAAAATTCCCACACTACTCTCTCTCCCTCTCTGTGCCACCCCCTGCTCCCCCCAGGGCTCCTCAACCTCTGGTCGGACCCGTAGCTTCTCCCTCCTCCCCCACCTAACCCCATCTTCATCCCCGGGTTCTCAGAGGCATCTGAGCCACGCCGCCTCACCCGGCAACATCGTAACCATCACCCACCACAAATCTCCGGCTGCAGCTCGGCGGGCCAAGAGTCTGTACCCGGAACGGCTGCTGGAGGTCAAAGAGGTGGGTGTCAAAGGCATAACAGTATTTTTTACAAAACCCTTGGCTTCATTACTTGGAATTCAAAGAGGAGGCATAGGCAATTGATTTAAACGTTATTTCAAGGAAAGGAAGTAAACAGGTGAAAATGCACTTTACTAGTCAACATGACCACTAGCAAGCTAATTCTTCTTTGGGATCTACTGCACAATTATGTCTTGTACAGCAGCACACACAACTAAGGCTAATTATACACAAGGCCATGGCTCTGCAACAAACAGATACTGATAATGCAAAATGACCGGACCTGCCATGCTCTGCCTCTGATCAGCTAATACTCCATTTACCATTTGTTCGTTGGGTTAAAAAAAGAAGGTTACCCTCCTGTAGCACAACTCAGGTTCTTTTCTATTAATCATGCCAAAATAAATCAACATAATGGAGGTCATTTTAATAAAAAAGCCCCTGACTTTTAAATATGGATGATGCAATTTCCCATACAAATTCTAAAACTGATGTTCTGTGAGAAAGTCAAGTGAGGCATTGAGTTATTCTGAACATATGTATTTTGCGTGGCCTTCAGAGCCTCTACAGATCAGGTCTCAGGTGGGACACTGGTGCAGTGAGTTCAGCAGATATTTCTGGCTTCCTGGCAGCCTTGACACTGACTGCAGTGTGCTCCGTCTTCACTGTAAATTAAACTCTGTTGGCATTTTTATGGTATATATCAATACTGATTAACATGGCTGTTGACAGAGGGAAGAGCTGGTGGAGCGTATGTTGTTGAATCAGGGTCAGTGTGTGCAGTCATCAACATAATGAGGTTTTTAAGTGTCCATGTGTACAAAAAAGATAAATTGTAAGTGCCAGCCAGCTAATCCCTGAATTTATACATTTTGATTTCTATTTCAACAAGAGCTTACATTCACAGACCTGCAAGCACCTCCTGCAGCTAATTAAAAATCCCTTTACTTTACATTTACAATCAGTTTCTGATTTAGTTTGAGCTTTAAATCCTCATTAATTCTCCTCGCCTCAGTTAACAGACCTGCCAGTTGTAGGGACCACTCCTTCCTCATCTGCCACATCTCCATACTTTCCCCCTTTGGTTTAGAGATGAAATGTGCTCTTTGAATCGTTGCCAGGCAGCCGTTCATCTTGCCACTGAATGATGGAAATAAGATGACTTGGCAATAAGGAAGGAGGAAGAAACATGGACAAGCAGAGACAAGAGACTTTCTAAATGTAAAACACAACTGTTCATGTAAAGTGTTGGTGCGGAGAACAAAAATAGAAGCTGACAGAGAATAGTTCATGTAGGCCATCATGAAAATAAATCCTTCCTAACCAGATACTTGCTTTGTCCTTCAGCTGCTGAAGGTGTTAGGGGGTTCACTGCTAAAATATTCATTGTATTGTTTCCTTTATTATCCATTATGCCTTTTATTAAAGATAAAGTTACAAAGGACTTTTTCTCCCATAAGTTGTGACACATCTTCAAGTTACATTTCAAATACTTCGAAAAAATGATGTGTCGTTAAGTCATCGAAGACGGAAGCAGTGAACATTTTTGCTTTTTGGACTAGGCAGTTCCACGTCAGCTTCATTCAGCTCATTGTTTTGGCTTCTTAGCAGTTTCTGTTTTGATCGAGTGGAACCGTTTCAGAAAGACTCAGTTGGTGACTTTAATTAACCTTAATTGGTGAGGTGTGTGTGTGTGTGTGTGTGTGTGTGTGTGTGTGTGTGTGTGTGTGTGTGTGTGTGTGTGTGTGTGTGTGTGTGTGTGTGTGTGTGTGTGCTAAATAGCCCCTCAGGAGCTGATGGAGACCAAAAACAGAGCCAAAAGAGGACAAATGTTGCTCTAAAATACAGATTTGTAGCTGTTTTTGTTCTATGTGTAATTAGGTCTGTTTGCGATGCCGTAATTACAAAATGCTCGAACCAATTTCTTTTTACATGATCAATTAATATGTTGTCTGTTTGTATATCTTGTTAATTTATCCGTCTATAAAAAAAGCAAAAACTGCCCATCACGAGTGAGCCTAAAGTGTTACACGGATTAATAGATATTCAAATGTCTATAAAATAAAGAAAAACAGCAAATCCTCCCATTTGAAAATCTGCAACCATGGAATGTTTGGCATCTTATTTAGATAAATGACACATTTTTGTCTATTTAAAAAATACTGCTTGCCTATTCATTTTAATTGAGACCTCACAGTAGGATTGGTGTCTCCTCCAAACTTGAAACAGTGAGCAGACGACCACCACACCATCAGATAAACAGTTTAAAAAACTTGGCATTTACCTCACCGCATCATCTGCTTCCTCGGCTTGTCATTCTGATGACGCCGTTGGAGTCGCATCAATATTTCATGCAAAGATCTTTCTTTCATGCCTTTCTTGCTCATTGAAGACCTGGCTGGCTTCAAGTTGTTAAATTCCCCATTCAGATGCACCACGCTGTGTGTTTGCCCGCTCTCGCTGAGAATGTCTTGCCTAAGTGATTCACATTCACATTCACGATTGGAGAGTAATTTCTCACCTCTCCGTAGAAGAGTCTGTCTCAAGTGAACCCGGGAAAGTTTGAGTAAATACTGAGCAGATGGTGTGATCATTAAGCAAAACAAACACTCCTTTGGCGCTTGTGGTTCCTCTACAGGCGGAGAAAACAAGGCCCTCTGTGATGTGTGATTCATTTTTACTTTACACAAGAACTGGGTTGCTGCCTCCTTTGACCTGACTCACATCTGCCGTCATTTAGCTTCTCTCTCCACAGTTCCTTCTCCGCTTCCCTCCCTCCTCATGTCATGTGTTGTTCTCCTTCCTTTTATCCATAACGGGCTCATAAACTTGTCTGACAGGTTTGGCGCAGGGCCGGGGGAGGCTGGAGTCGAGGAGTGTGCTTGCTCCATGATTTATGCACCACGGTAAACAGTAGAGACCAGAAAGCTGCTCCGAGCTGATTTATCACAGGATTTATGGTTTATTGGTGATGTTGTTACGTTCATCCCATTTCTTTTCTGGCCACTATTGCTGATAATATTCATACCAGTCTTGATACTTTCACGTTTGATTCCCCCAGCCACAGATGCTCATGCAGTAGCTCTCTTTCAAACACTCATGGTGGGAACAAGTCTTTGCAGCTCAGTGAACCTCCACATGATCTGCCTCCCCAGCTCAGCCATGTTGACCTGCCAGCACGCACTGAACCGTCCTCACATCCGGCAGGAGGCTCACACATGCAGCGCAGCAGCACAGAGTTAGAGTTGTGCCAGTTCATGGTTGTCTCACAGGATTAAAGTTTCTACTGCTCACCTGGCTCAAAGGCTCTGCAAAATGTCAATTTCTTCCTATCTCCATTTCCCTAGTTCTTGTCACAGGCTTTCTGCGAAATTGCCACAAGCCAATAACCCTAACAACATAATTGTAAACTTTGGAAAACTCCCTTTCAGCCACAGAAGAGATTATGTTAGAGTTTTATCAGACTTAATAGAACACTTTGGGACACACTGAATTTGATGTGTCTTTGTATTGTTTCGTGTCAAGACAATAACATGCAATCCAGGAAGGATTGAGATGCTGTCAGGGCGAGTTTGTGTTACAGATTCATAGTTTGTCTCCAGTCTCCAAAACATGCAGAAGTTTATAACACAGCCTAGCCCTAGATCTTACAATACTGGTAAATGAACATGGTGACCATTTTATTTTCCTGTTCTTCTCTGCGTCGATTACCCCTCTATGCATATACAGGTTTTTTTTTACTCATTCCCGCACTGTTTAATTAATCCTGTGAGTATGAAATGTGGGAATGGATGGTAGAGATGAGAAATCTTCCCATGTCTATGACTTGACAAATGAAAATCGTAGTGTGATTGCAGTGAATTGACACTAAAGCTGGGATGATAAGCTATGATTCATGGTTATTTGGTTTTTAGGTGCATTTATGTTGTTTAGCGCCAACCTATTTCCTTATTTCATTGTCATTGCAAGTTGCATGTTTTGTATTGACATCTTAAGCAACAGTAACATCACAATATATATGCTGTACCAAACAGCCATGCATAGTGTATTGTTTGAAATCAAAAATAATGATAACAGCAATCAAGTTACACAGATATTTTCTGTATAGGAGTAACCTCGAGTCATTATAAAACAAGGAACATTTTCATTTTTCCAATTGCAGTCCTGATAAATGTAATGATGGAACATAAAAAAAAAAAATACATATTGCTGTCACCTCCCATCCATCTGTCTCTCCACTGGCTGTGTGACGGTGGGAGTCAAACCACATTACCGTCTCTCCTCGGCCAGCTTGTCACGGCTGATGGGAACTCATCAAACGCCTCAACTATCAGTGCAGCAGCACCACTGGGCAGTGCAGCAGCAGAGCTGGAGCACTGGGGTTAGGCTATTTCTGGAAGCATCACTGGTCCTGTTGGCTCCAGAGGGG